TCCCGAAACGTCAGCCTTCCTGCTCCTCTGATGCTGCTTGGCCTGCTGTGTTCATCCAGCTCTACACCTTGTTATCTCTGTTTCTTTTCCTCCACTGTTTGACCAGCTTTCTGCTCCCGGTTATCGGAAAAGATGAAGGTGGTAGGTTACGGCTGTGTAAGGGGAGGAAGGGAATGTAGAACATGTCTGGTCATATATCTGTAGGTGAAGAAACAAAATGTTGTGGGATAATAAAAGTAAAATACTGCGAATGCTAGAAAACTGAAACAAATGCAGAAAATGCAGACAAACTCAGCAGGTCTGGCAGCATCTGTGGAGACAGAAACAAAATTAACATTTCAAGTCCAAAGACTGTCTAAAGAACTCTTTTTTTTCATGAATTTAAATGAGGAGAGACTGAACAAGGGAAATAAACTAGAGTCAAGACAGAAAGAAAAGCCCAGGCTGGAGCAATTCAGTTATGAACAGAGACTAGATAGGCTGCATCGGTTTTCTTACAAATAAGAAGGCTGAATGGTGTAGTGATAGGAACCAACTGGATTTTGTTGAGTACAAGATCCTTGATTGGGGTTGTTAACCTGAGTCAAATCAGGAATGCCTTGACTGACCAATATAACCAGGGGATTAAAATCTCCGTTCAGGGCCTGACTCCAAACTGGCTGGCCACAAATAAATAAAGGGGATACCGGCCTCTGCGTAGTATTTCAAAGGGGTACCGGATTGAGGTATACAAAGTAATGAGGGGTACAAATAGGGTAGACAGAGAGAAACCTTTCCCCTTAGTTTCAGGAACAATAACCAGGAGCACAGTTTTAAGGTAAGGAGCTGGAAGGTTACAAAGAAGTTGAGGAAATTGTTTTCCACCCAGAGGGTAGTGGGTTCCTGGAACTCACTCCTGAAAGGATGTTAGAAACAGGAACTCTCAGGACACTCAAGTAGTATTTAGATAAGTACTTGAAACACCATTTCATACAAGGCCAAGTGCTGGAAAATGAGATTAGAATGGATAGGTACTTGATGAGCAGCATGGATCTGATTAGTCGAAGGGCCTCTTTCTATCTGTAAGAACCTCCATATGAAGCTTATTATGCAATATAAATAAGATGGCTGCTACATCACATGACATTGCAAAATTTGCTGTGATGACATCATCTACATCATCAAAAATTTAAATGAGTATACTTTACATAATAGCCACCATGCTATCTCAACACAGCAATAATGCCATCCCCCACCACAGCCACCCCTCCCTCCAAATCCTTCCATTACCAAGCTTAAATGCTCATAGTCATTACTTGGCTCCTTATAGGCCTCATTCGGAGACATGCAGGCGTGAGTAGGTAGACGATGAAATGGTCACCCAAGGAGTGTTATGGGCCTCCTCCTCTGCCTTCAAACCCAGTGGCTGTAAAACTTTGCCCTCTACACCTAAGTACTATCACTAATTTGACAGCAATGTTTGAGATATTCACTCCTATTGTTTAAAGTAATATAAGGTTATAAATATTTTGCGTAAAAACCTTGAGGTTCTGTCATGAAATTAAGTCTTAGTCAAATGTCAATTGCTTTATTATTACAATTTTTTTAGGTGGAACTTGATGCAAAATTTCAAAATAGGACTTGTGGGCTCTGTGGAGATTATAATGGCCTTCCTTTACACAATGAATTCATTGCAAATGGTGAGTCAAGAAATCTTGAACTTTTTTTTGGGAAATAACTTGCTGAATGAAGTAGTTTTAAATTTGAAGTATCTTGTTTTCATACACTTTAGGCCAACAATTTTCACCGATTCATTTTGGAAATCTGCAAAAAGTCCATCAGCCAAATGAGCAATGTGAAGATGTAGATGAACATGAGATAGAAACCAGTGCTTTGTGTGAGCAATATGTAAGTTTCACTAATCTGTATCTACAGCTAGTAAAATCTCTGAGGTTAATCACACTTTCCTGGAGTTACTAAACTAGAAATGCAATTACATCATAGAATCCCTACAGTGTGGAAGCAGGCCCGTAGAGTTTACACCAATCCTCTGAAGAGCATCCCATCCAGACCCACCCCCAACCTATGCATGTAACTGTGCATTCCCATGCCTAATCCACCTAGCCTGCACATCTCTGGGCACTATAGCATGGCTAATCTACCTAACCTGCACAACTTTGAACTGTGGGGGAAACCAGACACCCAGAGGAAAACCCACACAGACATAGGGAGAATGTGTAAGCTTCACGCAGACAGTCACCCAAAGGGGGAATTGAACCCAGGTCCCTGGCACTGTGAGGCAGCAGTGCTAACCACTGAGCCACCCCATTTTACAAAGAATGCTACATCTACGTGTAAATGTGGGCCAAGGCAAGAAATAAGTTTAATTGAGATGCCTGATTAAATTGTTAATAACTTGCTCTATCTAGGCTTGCACACAAAGAAAGCTGCTGGCACCTCATTGAGTGTGCTCTTATCTTTAAACATTGTCTTTTGGGATAGGAAGAGTAAAATCTTAAGTTTAAGAAAATGTGTATCCATAAATTCTTAATGAGATTTTTAAAATTGTGACTATGTAAACAAGCACAAGAACTAACACATATTTACGTTTGCATACTTATTCATATTAACCTTTTACTACAATTCATCTCAACTCTCACACCTCATATCTATTTACATTCATAAATTTAGATACTCACGCACATGTTCAATAATTTAGATGTTTTGATATACACTTTTTTATGTAGCTGCTGTATTTTTCAGACTTCTATATATTACACTAATATTTTTCAGAGAGAAGCTTGTGAAAATCTCCTTTCAAAAAACACATTTGCAGATTGCAAATCCCGCTTAAATACTGAACATTATATTCAGGCCTGCATGCAAGACATGTGCACCTGCAGTAAAGTCTTAGATTCATTCTGCTTGTGCAGCACAGTCTCTGAATATTCCAGGCAATGCTCCCATGCTGGAGGGAAACCAGAAAACTGGAGGACAGAGACATTTTGCCGTAAGTGTAACATAAAGTTGAAATAAGCATTGCTCAGTGTGGTCAAGAGAGGAGGGGAACATTAAATATTAATAAGTTAGAAGTAAAAAAGCATATCCAGTTAATAGAGAAGATCAAGAAAGCAAAACTAGTCTAAAGAGTGCCAGAAGGTACCAGGTAGTTGTGCGAATCAGCTATCCTAGCAAGGAATCATGCCCAAATGGAGTGTGGGGTCTGATCTATACTCTCATCACCATTGTGAATATATACTCAGTTCTTATTTATCTTTATGAAGAAAGGTTGAGGGAAATATGGTGACAATCCAGTAAATGAGTTTGACAGGCAGAGAGTGGCTTGTTGGAATTGAAGATCTACTCCACTTCCATAACACCTTATTTTTCAGAATCACATAACATTTGCCAAACAAACTTTAAAATAATAGATTAGAATACCAAGTCTCAGCACTTTTTGGCAACTTATTTCCAGGTAAATATTTAGAGTTCTACTTCAAATTTGCATCAGAATGAAAGATATAGTGGAAAAAAAGAGAAATCAGAGATGTTTAGAGGATAAGTTAAATATATTTTGGGAAGATGTCAGCTGGCACAGGAAGACATTTTAATATAGATTGGTCAAACAAACAACTCTTTATACACACACCCCAAGTTTTCCACTAGAATTGCAAACTGAAGTTTGAACTGTAGAATATCTTGTTTCAAACCACTTTTATACAAGAGAGCAACATGCCTGTCAACCCTTCCTAATCATGTAACCATGCCTTTTAAATGTTGTAATTGTACCAGCCTCCACCACTTCTTCTGGCAGCTCTTTCCAAATGCGCACCACCCAAATGCATGAAAACGTTGCCTCTCAGGTCCTTTTAAGTCTTTCCCCTCTCACCTTAAACCTATGCCCTCTAGTTCTGGACTCTCCCACCCCAGGGAAAAGACCTTGGCTATTCACCTTATCCATGCCCCTCATGATTTTATAAATCTCTATAAGGTCACCCCTTATCCTCTGATGCTCCAGGGAAAATAGTCCCAGCCTTTTCAGCCTCTCATTATAGCTCAAACCCTGGCAACATCCTTGTAAATCTTTTCTGAACACTTTCAAGTTTTACAACATTTTTCCTATAGCAGGGAAACCAGAACTGAATGCAGTATTTCAAAATGGCCTAACCAATGTCCTCTATAGCCACAACATGACCTCCCAACTCCTATACTCAATGCACTGACTGATAAAGGCAAGCATACCAAACACCTTCTTCACTATCCTGTCAATCTGTGACTCTACCTTCAAGAAAATATGAACATGCGCCCAAGGCTTCCTTGTTCAGCAACAATCCCCAGGGCCCTTCCATTAAGTGTATAAGTCCTGCTGTGATTTGCCTTACCAAAATGCAACACCTCACATTTATCTAAATTAAACTCCAGTGGTGTGTTTCAGACAGTCCAGGTAGTGTGTTCCAGATGGTCCAGGGCTGTGCTCCCGTCACTCCAGTGCTGTGTTTCAGACAGTCCGGGTGGTGTGTTTCAGACAGTCCGGGTGCTGTGTTTCAGACAGTCCGGGTGATGTGTTTCAGACAGTCCGGGTGCTGTGTTTCAGACAGTCCGGGTGGTGTGTTTCAGACAGTCCGGGTGGTGTGTTTCAGACAGCCCGGGTGGTGTGTTTCAGACAGCCCGGGTGGTGTGTTTCAGACAGTCCGGGTGGTGTGTTTCAGACAGTC